CAGTCCGACCCCAGCGTCCGCACCCCGGGTTGCCCCAGGGACCCAGGTGAGCTGCCGCTGGAAGACGCCTGGGAGCCGCGGGGGCTGCTGGTGCGGAGCGGCGGAGCTGCGGCCGCCTTGGTGACACCTGGAAGTCGCGGGCAGGGTATCGCACCGGTCCCCAGCAGGGTCTGGCCCACCGAGGGCCCTCAGTGACTAGGTGAGGGATGAGTGAATGGGGATCGACCCGACTCGGGGCACTCAAGCGTTATTGTCTTGGCTATGGCAGGCCGGAGGGGGAGCCGTGGCAAGAGGCGGCAAGTGCATTTTGCAAGCCGAACCCTTTCAAAGCCTGAAGCCCATCCCCGCAAGCTGGTCCACAGCCTGTGCCGCAGCCGCCCACCTCATCCATCTCCTCTCGGGGTCTGACTGCCCCACCCTCACTTTTGCTCCTTTTGTTCCCACTGCCGGAGTCTCTTCCCTCACTTGTCCCTTTCACTTCCTGTCTTTGGGGCCCTATGAGCTCCTACCACACCACCGAGCCCCAATAAGGACGGTCTCTCCTCCACTCTCCATTGCTTCCACTCTGGCCACAGTGCATTGTCTTGTCGGTACTTCTGTACGTAGCTGATGGCCAGCTCTTCCAGGTTGCAACTTGGTCTGACTCGTTTTTCTATCTCTGTCACTAGACACTTATTGAAGGAGACTAAAAGACAGTACCTTTCCTACCTTTGACATTCACTGTCCATCAGATTGACTGAGGTAGTGGCTGGCCAAAAAACTTTTTACAAATGATTGTTTTGAAATTTGGGGGAAATGAATTTTGCCATCCCATGGTTGCAGAGAAGGTCCGAAAGATGGCAAGAGCAAGAAAAAGATATTCTTGCAACTAAACTTAAATAGCAGGAGCTCAATACTATTGGGTCAATAGCCAGCAAGTTGTGCTGTATTTAAACTAATTATCTTACCTTTAAAAATCCTCTGGACATAGTGGGTAGATGGGTGGATGGTTCAAATACGGGGTAAAAAAAGAGCTAGATCAGAAGTGCATATATTTTACAGTGCCCCCAAACGTAGCCCAGAAGCCTGACTAAAGAGAATGGACTATCTTTAAAGCGGTTCTCACACTTCATTGTGTATCAAAATCAACTGGACAGTTTCTTAAAAGAGACTGCAGGACCACCCCTGAGTTTCTGCTTCATTATGTCTCAATGGGGCCTGAGAATTTGCAATCTTAACAGGTTTTCTGTCTGGGGATCAGGTATGGACTACAGAGATTAAAGGACTTTCTCACTTGAACTAACCCAGATCCTCAAAACTATTTTACATTTGTAGAATAAGAAAATGCAAAGTAAAGAAGTTCAAACCCATGATCTGCTAAACTTAGATGGATGTCCTCCCAGAGCAGGAGGCATCAGGGGAGGGTGTATTTTCAAGATGATGCGTGGAGCTCAGGATGGTATTGATGCTACTGAGTGTGGTAACCCTAACAGTCCATAACAGTCACTCCTTTGGGTGTCTCGGATGAAAGGTCATTGTTCTACCAGGGTGGTCTGGATGATTTGTTGTTGATCTTGTTCCTCTTTTCTGAAATCTACCACCTTTTCCACACTGATGCCCATCTGGCACTTATCAGTAGGAGCTTCAGTCATGTTCCTTGTCAGGAAAAGTCCTGCTAGTGCATGCAAATAGCCAGGAAAGGATCCATGACAACAAAGAGAGTCGAATAGGGCTGGACAAATTCCAGAGAAGACCACAAAAGTGAATAAATAAGGGAATGTTGTGCTTTCCTTTGCTCCTTTTCGCTTTCCACTTTATCCCTCTTCACCATCCTCACTGTGGCCACAGAAGCTTACAACTCAAATACCTCCCCCCCTAGACTATTATAAGGAGCCCTCAAGGTCAGCGGTTCAAACCCACTCTTCTGGAGAAACATGAGGCTGCCTGAAGTCTTAGAAGTCCACAAGGGGCAGTTCTACCCTGGCCTATAGGGTCGCCATGAGTCCAAATGGACTCGATGGCAGTGAGTTTGGTTTGGGGAGACCGTTGTAATAGGAAGTGCTTCCAATTAGTCTCCTGTCTTTAATACTGTCCTCCAGAATGTTTTCTGATAGAAAAGCTTTCTGTCTTCTTCAGTAAATTAATCAATAGTCACATTTCATGTGTCTAGTGTCCTACTGGATATTACTTTTCATTTGGTGCACAGAGCAGGGTTTCCCTGGAGAAAACAGCTACTGTCTTCCTATTCTACTGGGAAATGAACCACATTTCTACGGACTGTCAAGTGGAATTCAGGATAGTGTTCATTTTCATCCCTAGGGAGGTAAATGACTGGAGATTAGGTTTTGCTCTTCTCCATACATTACGCGTTGGGACAGCGGTCAGAGTATGCCCTTCTGAGGCTCTCCGGTGAGGAGGATGAAGACTTTCAGGATGTAGAGCAAGCCAAAGAACATGAAGCAGAGTCCACAGAGGCTTTATCCAGTGATCCCGGACTGCAGCATGGCAGAATTCCATTAGTGAATCGCATATGGAAGAAGGATCGGCTGGACTCGGGGAAATCATGGAACCGGAAGTGGTGGGAGAAAGTGACTCAGAATTAGGACACGTTTGACCCATGGGGCAAGAACTCCGCAGTGAAGAAGAGGAACTTGACAATGAGGAAATCGAAAGGGGTCAAGCAGCACAGGAAGAGATGGAAAGTACACAGTGGAGATGAGGGGGAGCCTCTCCTTCAGCCGTCTTCCTCTGAAAAAACCAGGGGACAGTTCAATAACAGAGGCTGAAGCCTGGAGACAGGAGCTGGGGCAGAAGGCAAATTGCTTGGCTGAGGAGAGGCGCATGGACTCTCCGCACACTTCGGATTGTAAGAGTCCAAGAAGCTGGAATTGGACCTGAGTCCTAACTGCACGGATCCTGAGAAGGGACAGAACACTCAGGAACTAACGAGAACCAAGGGGGGCAAAGAAGACCCAGAAGTGCCTGAGAAGGAGGAAGCAGAAATCGAACCCAAGCAACACCTGACCGAGCTGCAAAATGAGCTCTGGGCAAATGGCAAAGCCATTCATTACCAACTAAGCTGGTGAGAGGAAACATCCGCTCTTACAGAAGTATTACTTCCGGGTGCTTTGTTCATGGATGAGGATGAAGAAGTGGGCAAGAGAAGAGTACAGTGCATATGCTCTGTAGAATCATTTCCACAAAAATCATTCTTCCATCAGCCATGCAGGTCAAGAACCTTGGGTGCTCTGCCTGTACCAAATATATCCAGCTTGTGGGTTGAGACAACATGTTCTTCCACTCGGTTGTCGGCCAAGTGTCCGGAACACAACGTTCTCTAAACAAAAGGCAACTGGGGTATGTGATGGTTTGACTCAGCTACTGGCTGAGAAGCAGAAAACTACATAGAGTTCAACTACTTCTTCTTTCACCTGCAGACTACAAGGAAAAGTCGCAGCACTTGTTTTGCTTTTGCAAAACATTATTTACATGATCTTCAGCCTCTTTGACCTACTGCCATTCCTGTGACGCTGGACAGTCCAGCATCTGAAGGTGCTTTGTGGGGTTTTGACTTGGGCGGAGAACCAAACTCATTGCCATTGAGTCGACGCCGACTCATAGCAACCCGGTAGGACAGGTAGAACTACCTTCTGTGAGTTTCCAAGACTGTCACTTTTTACGGGAGTAGAAAGCCCTGACTTTCTCCTGAGGTTGCCGGTGACTTTGAGCTGCTGAACCTTGTGATCGCAGCCCAACACACATCCACGTATAAGAATTAGAGGCCCCCCACATAGACATTCTGAGAAACCTTAGGCTTTTCCCCTGCTTAGTCTTCTCATAATCTGTTGGGACTGTCCAGAGTTTCTTCTCGAGGTTGACGGTGTAATATATCAGGAAATCTAAGCTCACTGAAAACCTACTTTAACTGCTATCCTTGGTTCGAGTCATTTTTTATGGATGAACATAGTCTTTGAGCCATCCACGTAAAGAAACAGAAGACTTGCTCACGCACAGAAAGAAGCAAAATTCCTGGGGGATAAACAATCATTTATGACAGGAGGAAATGAGGATATTTTGTGACGTCCGAAAGAGATCACTGCTGATCCACTAACTGAGAGGTGATCCTGGAGAGGCATTTCATTTTATGTATATTGTGTGTGTTGTTTTTGTTTAAATATATATACATTTAAAATTGAGAAGCATTGGCATTGGCATGAAAAATCCGGAATGATGGCTTCTCTTGGAAAACATGGGCTCTGGCTCCTGGGGCCCCACACTGTCGCCATGTGTTTGTAGGGGCTAGCTCTCACCAGCCCCTTCTTGAAGTTCATCCAGTGCCTGCTCACAGCACACCTGTCGGGCCCTGCCAGGACTTGAGTAGACTACCAGCCCTGCTTCAGTGCAGCCACTTTCAGAAACAAGTATGAATGCGAGGTTCTAGGTCCTAGATCTGACTCAGGGTGGCGATTTTTATCATCTCAACTTAATTAGCAGATTGAGAAGGCTTTTTAGGTGGTAGGAACAGATGAACTCTAGTGGTGGAGTTTGTCTACTGTGAGATGGCATGAGGAAAGTCAGGAAGACTGGGTCTGTATTCCTATAGGTAGCAGAAAGAGAGGGGGAGATGGTACTTCCGTTGCAATGTACAGAGCTACCTTTTGCTTGTGGAAGGCATGCAGTACTAATTCCCATGTACTGACACATTGTAACATACCTCTTTCTTTCCCTTCTGTCTTTAACTATGGTCTTTAGATGTACTGACACATTGTAACATACCTCTTTCTATCCCTTCTGTCTTTAACTATGGTCTTTAGATCCTAGGTAAGGAGCCCTGGTGGCGTGGTGATTACGGTGCTCAGCTGCTAAGCAAAAGGCTGGCAGTTGAAACCCACCAGCAGCTCTGCAGGACAAAGATGCGGCAGCCTGCTTCCATACAGATTAGAACTCAAAAAAGGCAAACTCAGTGCTGTCGGGCTGATTCCAAATCACAGCCACCCTCTAGGACAGGGCAGAACGGTCCCTGCGGGTTTCTAAGACTGTAACTCTTTCTGGGAGTAGGAAGCCTCATCTTTTTTCATGTGGAACTGCTGCTGGTTTTGAACTGTTGACCTTGAGATTAGTGGCCAATATGTAACCACGATGGCACCAAGGCTCCTTTCCATAAAGATTGTAGTCTCAGAAACCCGATGGAGCAGCTCTCCATTCTATAGGGAGGCTCTGAGTTCGAACTGACTTGACGGTAGTACGTTTGGTGTGTTGTTCCTTTTAGCTCCTGAGGGTTATGAGTTGTACAATTGCCACCCCAAACTTTGATGATAAGAATTCAATATGTTACTATATCCTGGTTGTATAGCTTTTCTAAAACTTCATTTCATTATCACTGTCAAGGGATGACAATGGCAGTACTAGGCTCATTGTGGGAATTAAATCATTCATGAAAAATACTTTGTGTAAAGCTTGGCATGTGGTAAGTACTCGAGAAATGCTGGAGCTGATGGTGGTGGTGGTGGGTTGATGTGATCGTTTTTTAATCCTTGGTGTTTTTGAGTAACTAAAAAAAGCATCGACTCGAAAATTCAACATCAATGTGAAAAAGTATACCCATGTAACACAGATAGGAAATCTATGGACATACTCCATTATGTCCATTACACAAAGAGTTCTTTTACGGGTGAGACTGCAAACAAGTTTAGGGTATCAGCAACTTTGAGAATGATCGTGTCAGCAGTTCAAGCCCATCAGCCACCGTGCTGGGGAACGATAGAGCAGTCTACTTCTGTGAAGACCCAAAAGCCAACTAGGGCTTCTTGTCTGCGGAGCTGCTGGTTGTTCTGAGCTGTTGAGTTGCAACAGGTTGTAAGGGTGTCGGGAGCATCATCCTTCTCCCAGAGAGTGACCGGTGGGCTAAACTGCTGACCTTGTGGTTGGTTAACAGCCTGATGGCTTCAGAAACCCCGGGGGGCAACCCCGGGGGGCAGTTCTGCTCTCCGTTAGGTCTCTATGAGTCAGAATCAACTCCACGGCAGTGACTGTGGTTTGGCTTGTTTCAGATAGAGGACTTAGAAGATACTGTCTTGAGCCATTAACCCTTAGCATTGTCCGTGAAATCGATAGTTAACATGGCCTTTTACCTCTTCTTTTTTACTCTGGAACATTCATTGTTGCTGTGAGGTGCCACTGACGTGGTTCTGGCTCACAGCGACCCGATGTCCAAGAGAACAAAACGCTGCCCAGTCCTGCGCCATTGTCACCAGGGTGCTTTATGTTGCAGCCCGTTGTCCATCCATCCCTGTAACGTAGTTGAAGAAAAAAAAAGGCTTTCTAGCAGGACACGTGAAACCACCCGAACTGTCTGCTTTTCCGGGCTTGGCTTTCTCACCTGGAAAGCAAGGCTAATACACATCTTGTCTTCTGCGTAGGGCGGTTTTAAGTAGAACATTTGCAATGCACAAGACAGCGCTTCGTCAAAACTGAAATGTGCTATGCAAATATAAGATACCATTATATGGGCATTTCGTTTCCATTGAAAATGTACGGACGATCTTGATATTTAAAAAAACCTGTTTTTCATTTGCTCTCTTTTCCCTCATCCAGAAACAATGCAACTAGAGAGGAGTTTCAGTTCCAGCTATCGGCCAATTTCTTTCACGTATGATGTTAAGCGAGATGTGTACAATGAGGAGACCTTTCAACAGGAACACAGAAGGAAGACTTCTTCCTCAGGGAACCTGGACATCGACATTACCACCTTCAGACACCACGTCCAGTGCCGGTGCGTGTGGGCGCTCACTCAACTGCCACCTACCTGACCAGGACCCAAACGTGGCTGGGGTCCTTAGGTGCCCCCTCTGTCTTCCTTCTTTGACTCCCCGCCATCAAAACCAGGCCATTTGTTGTAGAACTATTCTTCAGTGTATATGTGCACAGGTGTGAATGTCTGTGGAGCCCTGATGGCACAGTGGGTTAAGTACTGGGGTGCGAACTATAAAGTCAATGGTTCAAGCCCACCAGTTGCACCATGGGAGTAAGATGAGGCTGTCTGCTCTAGCAAAGATTTACCATCTTGTAACTCTAGGAAACAGCCCTCCTGTGACCTGTAGGGTCATCATGAGTCAGATGGGTTCAATGGCAGTGTTCTTTTTGTTGTTTTATTTTTGGTATACACACATACCCCATATATGTATGTATGTTTGGTTGGTATTGTAGCACTTCCTTGACTGGAAACACCCTAGGCATGAAGACTTTGGATTGCTCCCATTCCACATTACCTAGGGCTGATAAACCTAAAAAACAACACAAAAACTCTGCTGCCATTGACTCAATTCCAACTTACAGCTACCTTGTCGGGTATAAACTAGAACTGTTCCTTAGGGTTTTCAAGGCTGTGGATCGTTACAGGAGCAGACAGCCTCATCTTTTCCCCTAGGGATGATAGAAATCAACCTCACTGACAGTGAGTCCATTCTGATTCCTAGTGACACTACAGGACAGCGTAGAACTGCCCCTGTAACACTCTCTCACTGCCATCAAGTCAGGGATGATTCACAGTGACCCTATCGCACAGGGTAGAACTGCCTCTGTGAGTTTCCAAGACTGTAACTGTTAACAGGAGTAGAAAGCCCGTCTTTCTCCCAAGGAGCAGCTGGTGGTTTTGAACTGCTGACTTTGCAGTTAGAACCACCACACCATCAGGGCTCTCTAATGAATACACGATTAATCCATGTCGGGACACACAGCAGCAACCGTGGTGGAGTATGGTAATAGGATGCGCTCCTGCTACCCTCATAGCCAGTGGTACCCCAGGAGGCCATGCGACTAGATGGTGCCATCCAGGAGCTCTATTTCTGTGCTATGAACCTTGTAGCAATCTGAGGAAGCTTATGAATCCCTCCAGATTAATTTTTAATACATAAAATAGACTGTTATAAAGGAAAGCAAGTATAGTGAGACATATTGAAATAAAAGGATTTTCTAAAATTGTACTACGTAATAATGTGGGTCTAATGACTGCCATCGTTTCCAAATAGTGACAGGAATATTTCAAGGTAACAGTGGTCCCTCGGTTGTCAAATTTGTGTTTGAGTGAACATTGAAAAATTTGAGAACTGGACATATTGTTCCCATAAGAAATCATGGGAAATCAAAGAATTGGTTCTGAAGACCAAAAACCACACGTACAAAAGCACTATGGAGGCGTTCAGCCTTCTCCCGCATCACTGTCTCAGGTACACTATCGTCATCCAGTTGTTTCTGGTTTACCCAAATTCACAGTCGCTTTTCAGCCTCGTTGATGGTCTGGGTTCTTTGTTTCGTGGTTAATTCTACACATTTTGCTACATTACCCACTGTAATCTTTATTTTTTCTAAAATGTTGATAATGTCCACTTAGCCATGTTGCCTTCAGTTGCCAAGGGGTGAGCGGGCTCACATTTAATAATGGTTTCTTTCTTTAACTCTATCGTGGCTCTCACAGTTTTCCTCTTAGCTAATTTTCTTTGGAGCCATGATTTCAATATTTTGTGCCAATAAGGTGTAAGAAAAAGCACGGTGACGAATATTTTAATGCACCACCGCAAGCACTGTACGCTGTCTGAATGAGAGTCATCCGTGTGTCCTCCGTGAGACTCGACACGTGATTCACTCTCACTGGGCAGGTTTTCTCAAGTCAGAGTTCAGTTCAACAATGGAACAAAGTTA